GGGGGTGCTACTGCTGGCGACCCTGAGGTTGGAGACCCTGGGACTGGAGGTGCTGGTTCTGGGGGTGCTGCTGCAGGAGACACTGAGGTTGGAGACCCTGGGACTCGAGGTGTCGGCTCTGGGCCTGGAGGTACTGGAGCTGCTGGAGGTACTGGAGCTGCTGGAGGCACTGGAGCTGCTGGAGCTGCTGGTACTGGTGCAGCTGCGCCGACACGACTGTTCTTCGCTCCGCCGTCTCCGTCGTCTCTGCCGCCATCTGCCTCTGTTCTTCGTCAGGTTCTTACTCTTCCGTCGTCTACTGGTCTTCCGTTACAGTCTGGCTCACCGCTGCCTGCTCCTTCTCCTTACACTGAGCTGACTGGTAGTCCTGCTGAGCGTCGTGAGCCTGCGTCGCGTCCTGTTTCGCCTGTTCGTCCTGGTCGTACCGGTCGTCGTGTTCCTCGTTCGCGTCAGCCGGCTGTCCCCGGCGCACACCTCGTAGTCCGTTGTCCTTCCTCTGCTCCGCCGCCTGTTCCTCTGCCGTCTCCTCCTGCGTCCTCTCTGCCTGCCGTTCCGGACCCTGAGTCTGACCGGTTTCGTACTGAGCACCCTACTGTCACGCGTCTCCTAGCCACTATTGTCACTGACCCGTCGTTTGAGTCTACTGCTGCGTCTGCCTTGGTCGCTGAGCTTGTTGACTTTGCTGCTGCCTGTCGTCTAGACTACACCGCCAGTCTTGTTGCTGAGTCTGAGTCTGTCTGTCCTCCGTCCGTCGGGGGTGAGTGTGCTCTTAGCACGGACGTCCTTGAGGACAGGCAGGAGGAGTTCCAGTGTCTTGCTGCTGCTTTACCTCATCTTGTGTCCTCGCTACTTGCCCCTGAGGGAGACCCGGATGCACCAAACATCCCGACTCCGCGCTCTTACGCAGAGGCGATAGAGGGTCCCTACTCCTCTCAGTGGCAGGCAGCCATGGACGCAGAGATGGCTTCCTGGAAGTCCACAGGCACCTACGTTGACGAGGGGCGAACATCGTCAGTGGCATGTGGATTTTCAGGGTGAAGCGGCCGCCGGGTTCTCCGCCTGTCTTCAAGGCGCGTTACGTAGCTCGAGGCTTCAGTCAGCGAGAGGGAGTTGACTTCTTCCAGACCTTCTCCCCCACCCCGAAGATGACCACTCTTCGGGTGCTGCTGCATGTTGCTGCTCACCGTGACTACGAGCTTCACTCTCTTGACTTCAGCACAGCTTTCTTGCAGGGCAGCCTGCACGAGGAGATCTGGCTGCGCCGCCCCCCGGGCTTCACTGGGTCGTTCCCTCCTGGCACCCAGTGGAGCCTCCGGCGGCCGGTCTACGGTCTCCGCCAGGCGCCACGTGAGTGGCACGACACACTGAGGACTACGCTTGCGGCTCTTGGGTTCGCGCCTTCTACTGCTGACCCGTCGCTGTTTCTGCGCACCGACACTTCACTGCCGCCGTTCTACATCCTCGTGTACGTCGACGACTTGGTTTTTGCCACTTCTGACACTGAGGCTCTCGCCCACGTGAAGTCGGAGCTGCAGAAGAGACACACGTGCACAGACTTGGGTGAGCTGCGCAGCTACCTTGGCTTGCAGATCACCCGGGACAGAGCACGCCGCACCATCACCCTGACTCAGTCACACATGGTGCAGCAGGTCCTTCAGCGCTTCGGCTTCACCTGGTCTTCAGCACAGGCCACTCCTCTGGCTACAGGTCATTCGCTCTCAGCTCCACCTTCGGACGAGTCCGTAGAGCCGAGTGGTCCTTACCCAGAGCTAGTCGGCTGCCTCATGTACCTGATGACTTGCACTCGACCTGACCTCGCGTACCCTCTTGGTCTTCTGGCTCGCTACATGGCTCCTGGTCGGCACCGACCTGAGCACATGGCTGCTGCTAAGAGGGTACTGCGCTACTTGTGCAGCACATCAGGCATGGGGCTAGTGCTTGGAGGGACGAGCCCAGTTGTCCTCACTGGGCACTCAGACGCTTCTTGGGCGGACGACCAGGCTACTCAGCGGTCGTCTCAGGGTTACACCTTCAGCCTTGGCTCTGGTTTAGTTTCGTGGCGTTCTACACGCTCGTCTTCAGTTCTCAGCTCCAGTTGTGAGGCTGAGATCTACGCCACAGCCATGGCTGCACAGGAGTTACGCTGGCTCACCTACCTGCTGACTGACTTGGGAGAGCAGCCTCGTTCTCCTCCAGTGCTGTACGTCGACAACAAGGCCGCCATTGCCTTGTGTGAGGAGCACAGACTGGAGCACAGAACGAAGCACATTGCTCTGCGTTACTTCCTGGCTCGAGAGTTGCAGCAGCGAGGCCAGCTTCGTCTTCGCCACGTGGCCACTCGGGCCAACACTGCTGATATATTCACCAAGGCACTTCCGTCTGGTGATCATCAGCGCTTTTGTACTCTGTTGGGCCTTGTGCCTACGTTTCCGCACTTGCTGTAGTCTCTGTTTGTACTGTGATCTATATATATACCTGCATGCTGGCTCTTGCTAGGTAGCCATCACTGTACTGTTATTGCTGCATATATATCTCTGCATGTGAACTGGCCCTGTGACCTTTTGCTTGTGCTCGGAATGCGTGGTGACGTTGTGATCCACCCTGAGCTTGTTTTGCTTCTCTTGACTGGTCGTGTGACCCCTTGTTCTCCCCCACTTTGCCTATGGGGGTGTGTCAAACTATATGTGTTGCATATTGTTTAGGCTGTAGTGGGGTAGCCCATATGGGGTACAACCCAATTAGGGTTTACTACTTGTACTCCTGCATCCTGTTAGTTCATTCATTCCTGCTGCTAGATTCTAACACGTTGCTTTGCAATAACCAGAAAGCAAGCTTTCTCAATAGTAGGTAAGCACCAAAGCCAAAGCACCAGGCACCAAGAACGCACAAATGATCATTCCCCAGTTGCATGCGTTTGCGTTTGCGTTTGTCAACTAGCAACGTTGACAATACGGTACCCTCAAATTAATTGAAAGAATGAGTTCCTGTTTGAAACATATACCCACCTGAATTGTGTTGATGTCATCTTGTTCCTAAGACAATTTTACTGTAGAGAATGGCGTCTATATATCTCATCGTGGCAGCTCTTTCGGGAATATCTGGCTGGGCCCGTTCTCTGCCATCCCATTCCAAATCTCTAACTTTCAAGCAGTCGAGCCCATTAGCTTCTTTTGCTTCAAGACATTACCACCTTGCGACTCCTAGGGTGCTTGAAGAGGCGTTCCTCTTATCTCTTGATAGTCTTGGCCTTTGCGCTCGAGAAGCGGCGGTGCTCTGCATGCTGATAGGCACGTGCGACTGAGCCTTCGGTCCTTGAGAAAAGCTGCTCCAGCACACATTGTTGTGTGATTTTACAATCTGGACCTCGGGTTCACGTCGTCGCCAAGCGAAAAGGGTCGGCATGCAAGTCTCTTACCTTCAAACCACTCTTACCAGTCGGAGCGCCCTTGCTTTGGAATTCTGCAATGTTTACTGCTGGGTCGCAACGCAAATCCGTTTATGCTTGCTAATGCCCAACCGTGAGTTTCGATTGCATGCCAAAGGCTCTCAATTGGGGACGGTATGTCAGTGCTTATATACTATATATCTCTTTCACCAACGGCTGTTCCTTAACCGGTCTGTCAGTGCAGCCTCTTTTACTTTCAGTTCAACCGTTAAGCGTCACCATAGCATCGCGTGGTTCAAGTCCTTTTAACCCTTTGGCCCATGGAATACAGTCCCACTTTTTCCTGGTCACCCTTCGTTCCTCGACCACTTCACGTGATGAACTGCCATGAGTACCGCCTTGCTGAGGCATCCCTTCGGCGCTGGCCGAGACGACCGCCCCTTGTCGTGTCGCTATTCACGTTTGATCCGTGCGACTCGAGAGCAAGATCCCAACTTTGCAAACAAGTCGAGATCTGCTGCCGACCCAGTTTCCCGTCTTTCTTTCTGACGTCAGGCATGAGAAGCTGCTGCGATGCGACGTACCAGCCAGAAATCCTCGTCAGGACGCAAGCGACCATACGGCGCAAGCATCTTGCCTCCATCACGAGCAGCTTGACACTGAGAGACAATCATACGGCGAAGACGTCAGAAACTGAGCTTGGAGTTCTCCTTCCCAGACTCGCGGAAGCAGAATTTGGAGTTTCATAGCTGCAGAGGACGAGCGAAAGCTTTTGTTTGAGTAGCAAACACGGTGAGCTCAGGACTTTGTTCGCTCGTTTTTGTGGTCATGGCGAGGCCGTGTAAGTGCCATAGCTGGAGCCCCTTCGTTTCGTGAAAGCAGCAACCGTGATTTGCGCGGCAGAGAGCTGAGAAAGCACCTGGTTGAGTCAGTTTGTAGCGAATCGCGCTCGCAACGCATCGCGCTTCTTATACGAGCTCCACCTATAGACGTCGCACTCCTCGAGGAGGGTATTGGCAGCATGGATCCCACATGTGAGAACGCGGATGATGCAGCGTATTCTGCACCCCCTGCTCTCCATCCGTCAGTCCCCACTGCCGCTCCAATCCCACATCCTTCTTCCCTTGCATCTGCAGCCGTCGGATCCGAACCAGTTATCGCTGCTGGCCTTGCTGTTCCTGTGACCGAGCCTTCCCTGACAGAAGCACGTCAGAAATCGTCAGCTGGAATTTTTTCCCCTGGAGTTATTTCCTGGGGTGCTGATGCCTTGTTATCGCCAGAACTTCAAGCTGTGGTAGAAGAGAATGTATCCCCCTTACAAGCAGGCTACCTTATGGATGTAGCGCCCCAAGCCCCCCTGCAGTGTACTGCAAAGAGTAACCTGGCTCGTAGCTTGAGCAGCAGTCGCAGTAGGAAGGAGCGTGAGAAGCCTCAGCTGCAACCACATGAGGAGTTTGAGAAGCTTCCAGGAACCAGCGAGAGCAGGCATGAAGGAGGAGGAAGAGGAGAAGGCAGAGGAGGAGGAGCAGGAGGAAAAGCCATGGAAAGGAAGGGTATCGGAGGTTTGGAGAGGAGGGAATGCACTTTGGGCGGAGAGGGAGGGAGAGCAAGGGGTATGAGCATAGAACAACTTGAGGCGGAGGCTGGGAGGACAGACGCTTGGCCTGATAGTCTTAAGAGAAGTTCTTGGCTAAGTGGGAGTAGGATCAGGAGAAGTGGGAACCCCACAAAGCAGCAGCGGTTGCTTCCCAGCGAGGACGAGGTGAGGAAGGCGGCAACTGATTGGCCAACGCTTGGGACCACTTTGAGACGAATTCTTCGGGCGGGAGGAGTTGGGGGTGGCGACAGAGGGGAGCATGGGGCAGGGGTTTCGCAAACAGGAGCAGCAGTAGCAGGAGCGATTCTGGCAGGAACGGCGGCAGCAGGAGCAGCGCCGGCACAAGTTTGGAGCTTCTGTGAAGAACTGGGAGGAGCTGAAGAAGCAACAGGTTTGGCAGAGGAGGAGGGAGGGATGGTGCAGCAGGAGAAGCAGTCGGAAGCCCAAGAGGAGCAGCCAAGAAGGGTGTTACCGCTGCCAGCTCAGCAGCAGCAGCAGCAACAGCAGCAGCAGCAGCAACAGCAGCAGCAGCAGCAGCAGCAGCAACAGCAGCAACAGCAGCAGCAGGAGCAACAGCAGCAGCAGCAGCAGCAGCAGCAGGAGCAGGATTTTCGTCTGTTAATTACCAGCAAAATGCCAGGCAGTGGAAAGCTTTGGAGACAAGGGAGGTTAACTGGCGGTACCAAGGCAGATCATGAGTGCAGATTCTGCGGCAAGGGATTTGATTCTCCTCGGGCGCTTGGAGGGCACATGAATCTGCACAGGAAAGGTGAGGCGTGCTGCTCGTGCATGCGCGAGCACAAGTGTGTGAATGTACGGGCTCTCTTTTGTGTCCGTGCGACTGCGCGCGCGCGCGCGCGTGTGTGAGTGTGCGCGCGCGTGCGATGCGCACGCGTGTTCGCGTGCATGTGTGTGTTGTGTGTGCGCATGCGCGCGCGTGTACATGTCCGTGTGTGGTGTGTGTGTGCACACCTGTGCGTGCGCATGCATGTGCGTGCATGCGTCACCAAAGCTCCTTCAACCGTTGGCCACTCCTGGTCAGTCCCGCTCATCCACTCCACTTCCCTTTCCTTCTTCCCAAGGCGCATCCCCCGTTTCCCCTGATGCACCCGTTTGATACTGGCCTTCCCCTTGCAATCTTGGTTTGGTGATCATTTTGGTTTCCTCATCGTGCACAATCATTGGACTCAGTGCACTCATCGCTCTCATCGCACTCATCGCTCTCATCGCACTCATCGCTCTCATCGCTCTCATCGCACTCATCGCTCTCATCGCTCTCATCGCTCTCATTGCGCCCATTATGTTTGTTGCAATGGTCAGAGCGCAAGCTAGAAGACGTGTTTCTGAACAAAGCCGAGGCTCAAGCTCGGGCTGATCTGCAGCAGCTACAGCAGCAGTTCATTCCTAGAGTACACCCGTTCTCTGTTGGCATATCCCACAGCACTGGAAGCAGAACCTCCGCTGAGACTCCACACAGCCTTTCTGCTGCCACGGGTGCATCTGCTGCTTTTGGTGCTCCTGCTGCTTTTGGTGCTCCTGCTGCGATAGGTGCTCCTGCTGCCATGGGTGCTCCTGCTACCATGTTTGCTCCTCCTGCTGCCATGTTTGCTCCTCCTGCTGCCATGTTTGCTCCTCCTGCTACCATGTTTGCTCCTCCTGCTACCATGTTTGCTCCTCCTGCTGCCATGTTTGCTCCTCCTGCTGCCATGGGTCACGGAGGGTGGCCAGAAGAACAGATGCAGATAGATCCGCCAAGCACTCGGTCGTGTCATATTCAGAAACAGCAGCATCAGATGCAGCAGCAGCAGCAGCAGCAGCAAGAACAGCAACAGCAGCAACAGATGCAGCAACAGCAGCAACAGATGCAGCAGCAGCAACAGCAGCAACAGATGCAGCAACTGCAACAACAGCAACAGCAGCAACAGCAGCAACAGCAGCAGCAGCAACAGCAACAGCAGCAACAGCAGCAGCAGCAACAGCAGCAACAGATGCACCAGCAGCAACAGCAGCAGCAACAGATGCAGCAGATGCAACAGCAGCAGCAGTGGCGAGGGAACCAGCGTCAAGAGCAGCTGCAGCTGCTGCAGCGTCATCTGCAGCAGCATCGGCAATTGCAGTGCCTGCAGCAGCAAGAGCAGCAGGAGCTGCGGTGGCAGCAGCAGCAGCAAGGGCACGAGCAGTCAGGTTTCGCCCATTCCAGGCCACCCAAGGCAGTTCCCACCAACCCTCGCAGAAACATACCTTCTTATCTTCCCCACTCTTCCACATCCGTGTCTCCCCACACTCCCTCATGGCAACCCATCCAGACACCCATGCAGCCGTTCACCCAGACACCCATGCAGCCGTTCACCCAGACACCCATGCAGCCGCCCACCCATTCCAACCCATTTCCACCACACCATCCACTCCTCCCTCCTCCCTCTCCAGACCCATTCCTCTCCACCCTCTCCCCTGAGGCTCTCCAATCTCTCGTCCTCCAATCCTCGCTTTCAGGAAAAGCACAGACAGGCATGGGTGGAGCGTTGGGGCAACAGAGGCAGGGAGAGCAGCAGGGAGAGAGCAGTCAATCAGAAGCATGTTTGGCGCCACAGAATCTAGCACAGGGAGCAGTGGGAGCAGTGGGAGCGGGAGGAGCGGGAGGAGCGGGAGGAGCGGGAGGGGGCACTGCATGGTCTCAGTGCGTTGGATTGGCTGCCTGCAGCCTCGCACCTCCTTGGCTTGACCACACCTGCTGTGACCACACCTGCTGTGACCACACCTGCTGTGACCACACCTGCTGTGACTACACTTGCTGTGACTACACCTGCTGTGACTATGCCTGCTGTGACTGTGCCTGCTGTGACTATGCCTGCTGTGACTATGCCTGATGTGACTATGCCTGCTGTGACTACGCCTGCTGTGACTATGCCTGCTGTGACTATGCCTGGACTTTCCCCAGCTCTTCCTTACCCCACCTCTGGGTCTCTTGCATCTGCACTGGCTTCTGCCCTTGCTGGGGTTGCACCTTCGTTAGTTACACCTTCCCTATCTACACCGGCGCTGGCCACGCCTTCCCTGGCCATGCCTTCCCCGGCTGCACCTTCCCCGGCTGCTCCTTCCTTGGCTACTCCTTCGCTGGCTGTGCCTTCCCTAGCATCGCCTGCACTGATTAGTCCTCCACTGGTAGCTGGACCTGCTGGTACACCTCCTACCGCCACTGCTCACCTGCTTACTCCACAGTACCGTTCTCCAGTCACTGCTATGACATCTCATGGCTCTTCAGGTGCTGCCGTTACATATCATGGCTCTTCAGGTGCTGCCATTACATCTCCTGGAGCCCATGCCCACATGGAGTCAATTCCACCTGCCTCCATCCCACCGTGCCACCAGCACTCCTTCCGCTCCTTGCAACTGCCCTTTTTGTCCTCACAGCCCAACTTGGTGCAGCCGCAGCAGCAGCAACTGTTGACCTCTCAGCCTGCCTTGAGCCAACAGCAGCAGCAGCCATTGACTTCTCAACCTGCCTTGAGCCATCAGCAGCACCATCAGCAGCCGTTGACTTCTCAATCTGCCTTGAGCCATCAGCAGCAGCAGCAGCAGCAGCAGCAGCCATTGAGTTCTCATCCTGCCTTGAGCCAGCAGCAAAATGCTGGTGCACTGCCAGAGAAGTCATTGCAAGTGGAGGGTGCAGGAGGAAGCGGGGAGGACGATCTGGCACAGTTGGAACAGCTTCGCCAGCTGCTGTTCTTACAGGAGCAGCTTATAGGGGAACAGCCGGGGGGGGAGGGGCTTCAGTTGAGGAGGCAAAGGTTGGAGGGGATGCAAGGTGTGGAGCGGTGTGGTGACTTGAACCAGCAGGTGGAGGCTAAGGGGGGAGTGGCAGCAGAGCCTGCGAGGCACCGTTGTTCTGAGGAATAGGAGCAACATGAAACGGATGCATAGGAGTGATGGAGGAATGGAGGGATGTGTGGATAAAACACCTGGGTCTTGTACGGTACCCTGAAATAGAATCTCTATCTGAATGGAAGGATGTTATTGGGGCTTGCAAATGCGCGGTGGAATTTCCTTTTTGAAAAATGTGCATGTGCATTTTAGGTAGTTCCACCACAAAGCTGAAATTCAGGTACAGAAGGGATATATAGTAGGGATATACCGAGCATGTCCACACCAGAGGCACAAGAGTTTTATGAGACACAGAGAAGCCTCCAAGCATTTCATTCAAATGAAGTGTTACAGATTTTATCAACCTTTTCTTCGGTCATCAAATCAGGACCGTTGCATGCAAAGCCTGTCAGATGTACTCCATCGCGACCGTCCATTTTACCCATGGAGGTTCGTGCCTTGCTAGTGTGCCTCTGCTTGTCCATCCTTGGGGTGAAGTGAAAAGGGCATGCAGAAGCAGGATACACATGATGCTCAGCTGTTGCACGCACATTTGGTCTGCCCGTATTCGACAGCCTGCCCAATTGCATTTGGTACCAGCCAGTTGCACGTGTCAAACTATATGTGTTGCATATTGTTTAGGCTGTAGTGGGGTAGCCCATATGGGGTACAACCCAATTAGGGTTTACTACTTGTACTCCTGCATCCTGTTAGTTCATCCATTCCTGCTGCTAGATTCTAACATGGTTTCAGAGCACTAAGGTCCGTAGGACCGTTTTTTTCGGGCCCACCTACCGCTGCGGTTACCGCGCTACCCCACGTACCTGCCTGCCTTGCCTTGCCTTGTGACGTGCTGCACATGCGCTGCCTCCTGCTGCCCTAGGCCAGCGCGCTGCCCCTAGAGGCCCGTAAGGCCCGCGCGCCGCCTCTACACGCCCGTCAGGCCCGCACACAGCCCCTGCAGACCGTTAAGCACACTGCTGCCGCGCGCTGCCCGCACCGAGTCGCGCGCAGCCCGCTGCAGCCGCGCGCAGCCCGCACCGACCCGCGCGCAGCCCGCTGCAGCCGCGCGCAGCCCGCACCGAGCCGCGCGCAGCTCGCAGCTGCCGCGCGCAGCCCGCGCCGAGCCCACGCAGCCCGCGTCGAGCCGCGCGCGGCCTGCTACGGCCTCGCGAGGCCCGCGCGCGGCCCGCAGCAGCCCGCGCCGAGCCGCGCGCGGCCTGCTACTGCCTCGCACGGCCCGCGCGCGGCCCGCAACAGCCCGCGCCGAGCCGCGCGCGGCCCGCTACTGCCTAGCGCGGCCGCGCGCGGCCTGCATCAGCTTAGCGCGCTGTCAGCGCAGCCCGCGCCGAGCCGCGCGCGGCCCTCTGCCTCGGCCCCGACCTGCCGCTGATGCGGCCCCGCCCTGCAGCTGCCACGGCCCCGACCTGCCGCTGATGCGGCCCCGCCCTGCAGCTGCCACGGCCCCGACCTGCCGCTGATGCGGCCCCGCCCTGCAGCTGCCACGGCCCCGACCTGCCGCTGAAGCGGCCCCGCCCTGCAGCTGCTTCGGCCCTGCTCTGCAGCCGGTGTTGCGGCCCCGACGTCGCCGCTGTTCCAGACTTGCTGCCGGTGCTGACTCTTCCAGACTGCAAATGTTGCGTCAGCTGATCGCCAATTTGTCATCAGCGGGAGCTCCTATTCAGCAGCTTCCTGATTTTCTGGCATCACAGACGCTGAGCGCACTTGACAACGCTGAGTCTTCCCTGCTGCAGATGCAACAAGCCATGCAGCAGAGGCAACAGGACATTCTGCAGCAGAGGCAAGAAGACATAAACCAACAGTTTTATCAACAGATGCAGCAACAACTGCATCAAGACATGCAGCAACAGGCGCAGCAACAGATGCAGCAGCAGCAAACGCAGCAGGAACAGGTGCAGCAGGAACAAATGCAGCAACAGATGTGTCAAGACATGCAGCCGCAGGGGCAACAAGACATGCGGCAACAGACGCAGCCTCAGATCCAGCATCAGATACGATCCCATCTGCTGGCACTGCAGGCGCGTGCGAGCCTGCTGAGGGCTCAGTTACCACGACTGGAGGAGCCTGCACTACAGCATTCTTCTATTCTTGCCCAGCCAGCAGGAGATGGTAGCTCTGCACCTCTGTTGGCACCTGCTTATACGTGCGCAGACTGTGGGAAAACATTTGGATCGCGGCAGGCGTTTGGTGGGCATGTTACGAAGCACCGGCGAGGTAAGAAATTCGGTAGTTTTCCCTGGCGTTTTTGCAACCGAATTGTTGTACGCTTTATTAGGTCGCAAGGCTGGCTTGCTGTTTCGGAGTTTGATTGCTATAAGAAGCATCTTGCTGACCAAAGATTTATTATTATCATTATTTTTCCCCTGTTGCAGAAGCAAGAACGAAAATTGCACAAAAGGCGGAACATCAAAAGCAAGGCAGTGATGCACTGCTACGCACACAAGCCTCCTTCCAAGCCACGTGTGGTCTTCTGCCTTCGGGCGAAGCGGTTGAAGCGGCTGCAGCAGAGGAGGTAGGGGAAGCTGGTGGTGTGAGTAACCTCCCTTGCTGGCCACAAGCTCTTTCCTTGCTGACAGGATTTACCGAGTCGCAGCAGCCTCGCATTCTGGGCCAGATTCCCCTCCACCAGAGTTGTCCCACTTCTCAAGATCATGCTCCTGATGAATCCCAAGCACATCAGGCACCATGCAACATGGAAGTTGGAGTGACAGAGCCTAACTATACAGGTTCTGAGCCACCCATTGCCAACTCTCTGCTGCCCAGGCCCGAGTTTGAGCCCCAGCAGTTATTTTCAGTGCCATCCGGGGCTGATGTCAACCCATTCATTTCAGATTTGAAGCCGTCTCAGGCTGATGCACTGCCATGCGTGGCTGATTCTGAGCCACCCGGTGCTGATTTGGAACTCACTGCTGGGACTTTTAAGTCAACTAGCCAATGGGTGAGCTGCACGAAACAGGGTGATCGAAGCATGCCTTCAACGAAGTCGGTGGAGGACGACTTGCCTCCTCCGATGGGGGGCATCTGCGGGTTTGTTGGTGTGAAACGGCTGCCACCGAAGATAGTGAAGAAGGCAAGTGATATACCATGGACGTCTTTGGTCAATCCTGGACATGGGCTGGGGCTGATTGCAGGGAACTATTTGTGCGATCCGAGGCGGCTGCGTTTAGACTTGAATGAGATTCTGTAGCGAAGGCAAACTTTGTTTGGCGAGGGGAGATGTAAGGGTGCTGAACAGGCTGGCTGGAGGATGCATCCTTTTTCCGTCTGATTGTAAATGTGAATTTGGACGGTGGTGAGAAGGCCTTGAATCGCATACAAACAATACAATACATGCTGGACCGAATTGTATTTTAACTTTGTACTGAAAATCTACCAGTATGCTGGTAACACTGCCAGAGGCGTGATCTCAAACAGATGTACCTACGCAAGATTAGCATTTGCAAGCACTGTAGGCGTATGCAGATTAGCATTTCATGTAAATTTTTGAAAGTGTGTAACACTTTCTAAAATTGTGTATTGTGAATAGCGAAGATATTTGTACCGAAGCAAAATGCTTCGGCGAACCGCTACTTCCCCTCTTTTTCGGTATAAAAGAGGGGGCGAAGGCCATTTGGCCTTCACCCACGTTTTTCATTTCAAACTTTCAGTTTTCAAGTTCCCCACCCTCCCACCCTAGTATAGTAGAGAATTCATCGTTGTTACTATGTAATATGCTTGGACGATAAAAAATCTTGTACTTGCCAGTTGAAATGAGACGTTGCATTTGCAAAGACAAATAGCAAGCTTTCACAATTAGAATCTATGTGGACTGGTAGTATCAAATAATGAATTTTTTTGAAAGTGTGAAACACTTTCTAAAAATAAAGATTGTGAAAGCGCAGCTGACTGTAGTGAAGCAAGGCAAGTGCGAATGCTTGTTCCCGAGTACATAACGAGGGTTGGAGGCCATTTGGCCTCCACCCACGTCTTCATTTCGGAACTTTACAGTTCCGCTTCCCCCCCGCCCGCCCCTGGTTGATCTGTGTGTAACAGGGCCTCAGATTCGTTTGAGGGTACCCTGTGGACTCAGGGCAGTTTTTCAGGATTCCTAATTTGTCCTGAAATGTCAGGACTGACCAAGGGTGGGTATGCTGTAGGGTCAGTGCTGCAAGTGACATTATCCTGCCCCGTCAGTGCTAGTACATTTCATTTCATCCTATGCACTTTGTTAAAGGCTGGTTTGTGAACTTCTGCTGGTTGTGTCTGCATGCGGGTGTGGGTGGGTGAGATGAGAACAGTGTTTACAGGCTAGGAGGGAAGCACGTGATGCCAGCGTACAGCAAAGATGGCCGTGCGTTCCCTTCGTGTAAAGTGAGCGCGGCACACTCTCATTGGTCGTTATTACAGCAATGCAGGTTGCCACGGTGGGCGCGGCATGGTTCTGCGCCAGCAGAGGAAGCAAAGTCAAGGCGACAATTACAGTTGGGTACACTAGGCCCCGGGCGAAATTGGCGCACTACTCGCTTCAGGACGACTCTCAACACTATACTGACTCATCAGTGCTGAACCTACAGCCCTATACTGAATTTCCAGCACGCAAAATAACAATTATACTGAAAGTACAGGACAACTATGTCGCTTATGCTGTTTTTCCAGGATTGGCGCACAACAGCTATCCTGAATTCAGGAGAATCAGGATAAATTATCCTGATATCTGAGGCCCTGGTGTGTAATGTTTAAGCTGGACGAGAATGTTGTAATTTCCCAATGAAAATGAAGCACGTTGCCGATTAAAATGAAGCACGTTGTGTCAAACTATATGTGTTGCATATTGTTTAGGCTGTAGTGGGGTAGCCCATATGGGGTACAACCCAATTAGGGTTTACTACTTGTACTCCTGCATCCTGTTAGTTCATTCATTCCTGCTGCTAGATTCTAACATGGTTTCAGAGCACTAAGGTCCGTAGGACCGTTTTTTTCGGGCCCACCTACCGCTGCGGTTACCGCGCTACCCCACGTACCTGCCTGCCTTGCCTTGCCTTGTGACGTGCTGCACATGCGCTGCCTCCTGCTGCCCTAGGCCAGCGCGCTGCCCCTAGAGGCCCGTAAGGCCCGCGCGCCGCCTCTACACGCCCGTCAGGCCCGCACACAGCCCCTGCAGACCGTTAAGCACACTGCTGCCGCGCGCTGCCCGCACCGAGTCGCGCGCAGCCCGCTGCAGCCGCGCGCAGCCCGCACCGAGCCGCGCGCAGCCCGCTGCAGCCGCGCGCAGCCCGCACCGACCCGCGCGCAGCCCGCTGCAGCCGCGCGCAGCCCGCTGCAGCCGCGCGCAGCCCGCTGCAGCCGCGCGCAGCCCGCACCGAGCCGCGCGCAGCTCGCAGCTGCCGCGCGCAGCCCGCGCCGAGCCCACGCAGCCCGCGTCGAGCCGCGCGCGGCCTGCTACGGCCTCGCGAGGCCCGCGCGCGGCCCGCAGCAGCCCGCGCCGAGCCGCGCGCGGCCTGCTACTGCCTCGCACGGCCCGCGCGCGGCCCGCAACAGCCCGCGCCGAGCCGCGCGCGGCCCGCTACTGCCTAGCGCGGCCGCGCGCGGCCTGCATCAGCTTAGCGCGCTGTCAGCGCAGCCCGCGCCGAGCCGCGCGCGGCCCTCTGCCTCGGCCCCGACCTGCCGCTGATGCGGCCCCGCCCTGCAGCTGCCACGGCCCCGACCTGCCGCTGATGCGGCCCCGCCCTGCAGCTGCCACGGCCCCGACCTGCCGCTGATGCGGCCCCGCCCTGCAGCTGCCACGGCCCCGACCTGCCGCTGAAGCGGCCCCGCCCTGCAGCTGCTTCGGCCCTGCTCTGCAGCCGGTGTTGCGGCCCCGACGTCGCCGCTGTCGAGCGCCGGCCCTGCTCGCCCGGTGAGCGCCTGCTCTCCCAGCCTTTGGTGAGCGACTGCCTGCCTGCCTGCCGGCCTGCCTGCCTGCCTGCCTGCGCGCCTGCCTGCCTGCCTACCGGCCTGACTGCCTGCCTGCCGGCCTGCCTGTCTGTCTGCCTGTCTGCCTGCCTGCCTTCCTGCCTGCCTGCCTGCCTGCCTGCTTGCCTACCTGCCTGCCACGCCTGCCCTGCCCGCGCTGCTGCTGCTGCTACTGCTACTGGCAGGTGGCCAGATGCAGCTCCAGCGACGTTCACGCGAGCCTCTCACGCCCCAGCAGCTTAGTGAGTGGTATACTAGCTGGGGTTGTCGCGGTAGCCGTCGTAGCTGTCGCCCTGGGGCTGGTCAGTTGGGAGCGTCTAGCAGTGGCCAGCTGCAGCTGCAGGGGCGTCCACGCGAGACACTTATGCCTCGGCAGCTCCAGGAGTGGTACGCTCAGTGTAGCAGGTCTACACGTACAGTTCGCTGCCCGTACGTCATTCGCACAGGTGCTAGGACTGGTCAGCCTTGTGGGACACTTGGTCACACACAGTCCCGCTGCTTCGCCCGTCTGAGCGACGCCTGGCGCACAGTGTTTGGCGACGAGGCTGAGCTCCCCACCTGGCTAGAGCTGCATGGACAGGGGGTAGATATCTTTGCGCGTGACTATGATGCTATTCTCACTGCCATGTATGCATTGTCTACTAGTGCTGACCGTGCCTGTTGCCTGTGCGTACCGCCTGACCCTGGTGAGGCTGCTGCCCTAGGTGCTAGTGCGTCTCCTGCTCTAGGTGCTGGTGAGGCTGCTGCTCTCGGTGCTAGTACGTCTACTGCTCTAGGTACTGGTGAGGCCGTGGCTTCAGGTGCTGGTGAGTCTGCTCTCTCTGGTACTGCGCCCACTGCGGTCTCGCACACCTTCACCCTTGACTCAGGAGCTTCCCGCTCCTTCTTTCGCGACTGCACCGCACTCACGCCGCTCCGTCGGCCAGTCCCGGTCTCCCTGGCGGACCCCTCTGGGGGTCCAGTCCTTGCCCACTATTCCACGGTTCTGCCGTGTCCGGCCGTCCCGTCCGGCTCGCTGTCAGGTCTTTACCTCCCCTCGTTCTCTACGAACTTGGTGAGTGGAGCTGACCTCCAGGATGGGGGGGTTCACCAGTTCACTCCTGCGAGTCAGCGAGTGACTCACTGTACGTGTGCTAGGACGGGCCGGCACTTGGCCACGTTCACCCGTGCACCTGGCTCGAGTCTGTACACACTGACTACTGAGTCCCCTCAGGTAGCTGCGTCTGCATCTGCGTCTGCGTCTGCGTCTGGTCAGCTGGCGGCCCCCTGCGAGTGTCGCGCTTTGTCACACGACACTCTCCTGTGGCACCACCGCCTTGGTCACCCCTCCTTGCCTCGCCTGCGTAGCATGCACTCTCGCTCCCTGGTCTCTGGTCTCCCCAGGTCTCTGCCTGCCCTCCCTCCCTCGCCTGCGCCGCCCTGCATTCCTTGCGTCGAGGGGCGGCAACGCGCTGCTCCTCACTCCTCCTCGTTTCCTCCCACAGAGGCTCCACTGCAGACGCTCCACCTGGACGTGTGGGGCCCAGCCCGCGTCCAGGGACAGGGCCACGAGCGGTACTTCCTGCTGGTTGTCGACGACTACATGCGTTACACCACGGTCTTCCCCTTGCGGACCAAGGCGGATGTCCCTGCTGTTTTGATCCCCTGGATCCGCGCTGTTCGTCTCCAGCTCCGCGAGCGGTTCCGGTCGGACTTTCCTGTCCTGCGTCTGCACTCTGACAGAGGTGGTGAGTTCTCCTCCGACCTCTTGGCAGCCTACTGTGCGGAGCACGGCATCACCCAGTCGTTCACGCTTCCGGCCTCTCCGCAGCAGAATGGGGTTGCTGAGCGCCGCATTGGCTTAGTCATGGAGGTCGCTCGTACCTCCATGATCCATGCGGCTGCCCCCCATTTTCTGTGGCCGTTTGCGGTCCGGTACGCCGCGCATCAGCTCAACCTTTGGCCCCGTGTCTCCTTGCCGGAGACCTCGCCCACACTGCTGTGGACGGGGAAGGTTGGCGATGCGTCGCGTTTCCGGGTCTGGGGTGCTCGTGCCTTTGTCCGCGATACCACCGCGGACAAGCTCTCCGCCCGCGCTGTTCCCTGTGTCTTCCTTGGCTTTGTCCCTGACGCGCCTGGTTGGCAGTTTTACCACCCCGCCTCGCGCCGTGTCTTTGCGTCTCAGGACGTCACGTTCGACGAGTCGGTTCCCTTTTACCGTCTCTTCCCCTACCGCACTGCCTCGCTCCCCCCCCCGCCGCTCTTCCTCGCTCCAGGTGCTCCCCAGGTAGACCCCCTCCCCGCTCCCGGTCCTGCTCCTTCAGGTGTTTCTCAGGTAGACCCTCCTCCCTTGACTGCGCCGGTTGAGGTCACTGGTGACTCAGGTCCTACTGAGAGTGGTCCTGCTCGGGGTGCTACTTCTGGGGGTGCTGAGCCTAGGGGTGCGGAGCCTGGGGGTGCTGAGCCTGGGGGTACTGAGCCTGCGGGTGCGGAGCTTGAGGGTGTAGAGCCTGGTGGTGCTGAGCCTGAGTGTGAGGGGTCTGGGGGTGCTGAGCTTGGCGGTACTGACGCTGGAGGTTCTGGAGCTACTGAGGGTGCTGGCGCTGGAGGTTCGGGAGCTGCTGGAGGGCCTAGTACTGGTGACGCTGGAGCTGGAGGTTCTGGAGCCGCTGGAGGTACTGGTGCTGAGGGTACTGACACCGGAGGTTCTGGAGCCGTTGGGGGTGCGGGCGCTGAGGGTTCTGAGTCTGCTGTTGCGCGGTCTCCTTGGAGTGGCCGCCTTCGTCCACGTGTGCCTCTCACCACTCAGCAGCTGCAGGACTGGTACGGTCGCCGTCAGCGCCGCGCTGCTGGAGCTCGGAGTCGTGCTGGTCCTTTGTCTACTGGAGGTGCTGGAGTTGCTGGTTCTGGAGGGGCTCGTGCTGGAGACACTGAGGCTGGAGACCCTGGGACTGGAGGTGCTGGCTCTGGGGGTGCTGCTGCTGGAGACACTGAGGTTGGAGACCCTGGAGCTGGAGGTGCTGGTTCTGGGGGTGCTACTGCTGGCGACCCTGAGGTTGGAGACCCTGGGACTGGAGGTGCTGGTTCTGGGGGTGCTGCTGCTGGAGACACAGAGGTTGGAGACCCTGGGACTCGAGGTGTCGGCTCTGGGCCTGGAGGTACTGGAGCTGCTGGAGGTACTGGAGCTGCTGGAGGCACTGGAGCTGCTGGAGCTGCTGGTACTGGTGCAGCTGCGCCGACACGACTGTTCTTCGCTCCGCCGTCTCCGTCGTCTCTGCCGCCGTCTGCCTCTGTTCTTCGTCAGGTTCTTACTCTTCCGTCGTCTACTGGTCTTCCGTTACAGTCTGGCTCACCGCTGCCTGCTCCTTCTCCTTACACTAAGCAGACTGGTAGTCCTGCTGAGCGTCGTGAGCCTGCGTCGCGTCCTGTTTCGCCTGTTCGTCCTGGTCGTACCGGTCGTCGTGTTCCTCGTTCGCGTCAGCCGGCTGTCCCCGGCACACACCTCGTAGTCCGTTGTCCTTCCTCTGCTCCGCCGCCTGTTCCTCTGCCGTCTCCTCCTGCGTCCTCTCTGCCTGCCGTTCCGGACCCTGAGTCTGACCGGTTTCGTACTGAGCACCCTACTGTCACGCGTCTCCTAGCCACTATTGTCACTGACCCGTCGTTTGAGTCTACTGCTGCGTCTGCCTTGGTCGCTGAGCTTGTTGACTTTGCTGCTGCCTGTCGTCTAGACTACACCGCCAGTCTTGTTGCTGAGTCTGAGTCTGTCTGTCCTCCGTCCGTCGGGGGTGAGTGTGCTCTTAGCACGGACGTCCTTGAGGACAGGCAGGAGGAGTTCCAGTGTCTTGCTGCTGCTTTACCTCATCTTGTGTCCTCGCTACTTGCCCCTGAGGGAGACCCGGATGCACCAGACATCCCGACTCCGCGCTCTTACGCAGAGGCGATAGAGGGTCCCTACTCCTCTCAGTGGCAGGCAGCCATGGACGCAGAGATGGCTTCCTGGAAGTCCACAAGCACCTACGTCGACGAGGTTCCCCAACCTGGGGCGAACATCGTCAGTGGCATGTGGATTTTCAGGGTGAAGCGGCCGCCGGGTTCTCCGCCTGTCTTCAAGGCGCGTTACGTGGCTCGAGGCTTCAGTCAGCGAGAGGGAGTTGACTTCTTCCAGACCTTCTCCCCCACCCCGAAGATGACCACTCTTCGGGTGCTGCTGCATGTTGCTGCTCACCGTGACTACGAGCTTCACTCTCTTGACTTCAGCACAGCTTTCTTGCAGGGCAGCCTGCACGAGGAGATCTGGCTGCGCCGCCCCCCGGGCTTCACTGGGTCGTTCCCTCCTAGCACCGAGTGGAGCCTCCGGCGGCCGGTCTACGGTCTCCGCCAGGCGCCACGTGAGTGGCACGACACACTGAGGACTACGCTTGCGGCTCTTGGGTTCGCGCCTTCTACTGCTGACCCGTCGCTGTTTCTGCGCACCGACACTTCACTGCCGCCGTTCTACATCCTCGTGTACGTCGACGACTTGGTTTTTGCCACTTCTGACACTGAGGCTCTCGCCCACGTGAAGTCGGAGCTGCAGAAGAGACACACGTGCACAGACTTGGGTGAGCTGCGCAGCTACCTTGGCTTGCAGATCACCCGGGACAGAGCACGCCGCACCATCACCCTGACTCAGTCACACATGGTGCAGCAGGTCCTTCAGCGCTTCGGCTTCACCTGGTCTTCAGCACAGGCCACTCCTCTGGCTACAGGTCATTCGCTCTCAGCTCCACCTTCGGACGAGTCCGTAGAGCCGAGTGGTCCTTACCCAGAGCTAGTCGGCTGCCTCATGTACCTGATGACTTGCACTCGACCTGACCTCGCGTACCCTCTTGGTCTTCTGGCTCGCTACGTGGCTCCTGGTCGGCACCGACCTGAGCACATGGCTGCTGCTAAGAGGGTACTGCGCTACTTGTGCAGCACATCAGGCATGGGGCTAGTGCTTGGAGGGACGAGCCCAGTTGTCCTCACTGGGCACTCAGACGCTTCTTGGGTTGACGACCTGGCTACTCAGCGGTCGTCGCAGGGTTACACCTTCAGCCTTGGCTCTGGTTCAGTTTCGTGGCGTTCTACACGCTCGTCTTCAGTTCTCAGCTCCAGTTGTGAGGCTGAGATCTACGCCACAGCCATGGCTGCACAGGAGTTACGCTGGCTCACCTACCTGCTGACTGACTTGGGAGAGCAGCCTCGTTCTCCTCCAGTGCTGTACGTCGACAACAAGGCCGCCATTGCCTTGTGTGAGGAGCACAGACTGGAGCACAGAACGAAGCACATTGCTCTGCGTTACTTCCTGGCTCGAGAGTTGCAGCAGCGAGGCCAGCTTCGTCTTCGCCACGTGGCCACTCGGGCCAACACTGCTGATATATTCACCAAGGCACTTCCGTCTGGTGATCATCAGCGCTTTTGTACTCTGTTGGGCCTTGTGCCTACGTTTCCGCACTTGCTGTAGTCTCTGTTTGTACTGTGATCTATATATATACCTGCATGTTGGCTCTTGCTAGGTAGCCATCACTGTACTGTTATTGCTGCATATATATCTCTGCATGTGAACTGGCCCTGTGACCTTTTGCTTGTGCTCGGAATGCGTGGTGACGTTGTGATCCACCCTGAGCTTGTTTTGCTTCTCTTGACTGGTCGTGTGACCCCTTGTTCTCCCCCACTTTGCCTATGGGGGTGTGTCAAACTATATGTGTTGCATATTGTTTAGGCTGTAGTGGGGTAGCCCATATGGGGTACAACCCAATTAGGGTTTACTACTTGTACTCCTGCATCCTGTTAGTTCATCCATTCCTGCTGCTAGATTCTAACAGCACGCACGATACAAGCCCCTATTTTGATCGCAGCCGTTGAACAAACAGCTTATCACGCTGGCATCCGTCCGTTCGTGAGATATTTTGAAGACGCTGGTTACATTTCTTCACCTGCCCACTACAGACCCAATTTTGCCCGTGGCGAATGTTGGCGAGCAGGCGAAATAGCTGTTGCTCACTAATCACCCAAATGACCGGAAAAGTTGTGGGTACCTAACGGGCATCAGGTGTATCAACATGTGAGCTCATCTGATCGAGCACCATATCAGACAGCTCATCTTCTCGCTGCTGCATGCCGCATGATGACTTCTTGGTGGAATTAGAAATGCTCTAGAATGCACTCGTACACACGATGTCCGTTTGACTAACCCAAGGTTGCCTTGTGAAGGGGGCGCTTAAGTGATTCATGCATTTCGTGGAGGTTTCGTCAATTCGCATCGGGCAAAAAGGGCTTATAGCAAAATTTTGTAACTCACCGTTGACTGTTTGACTTCGGTCTCTTCTGTTTCTGTGGTTCGTATTGGTTGACGTGCTTGTAACGTGGGTGCAACTGCCCGGGAAAAAACCTTCGTGTGCAAGGTTTCTGGAACGTGCGAGGCAATTTCGCGTGCAGGGGTTGGGCATCTTGTGTATGCGGCGTCTCGGGATTTTCTCGATTTTGCCTTGACCTTTGGTTTCGTCAGGTGGCGTGCCTTTCCTTCTTGACCTTACGTCTCAGCAACGGTTATTCGTGTGCATGTTCAAGCTCGCTAGTCTAGCTTGGATCTTCAATCGACGGCCAGGATTTCTGTGAGCCTGCGTGATCGCTCTGCTTAGCCAAGCTGGAATGCTCGCGTTATCAGGAGGAGGCAGCATTCGTCGTGTTTCGTCAATAACTATGGGTGGCGAAATCGCTATTGCGACGTGGCGTTTCCGTGTACAAGAGACGTCCGAGAGATTGAATGATCGTATAACAGAAGCCGGTTTCCAGGGAGCAGTTCCATTCCGCTGCTTCTGCAGCCATTAGCGGAGCCTCACGCTTTTTACCATTGGTTCCGTTCCGTGCAGCATTTCTCAGCAGCGCAGGCTCTTCATCACAAATTTGTTTGCCCCCCGTACTATGTACTTATAGGTTATGCTGTATTGTAGATACGGAGGTTTACAGAGTAAATTGCTTGTAGCAGAACCTATAAATACATTGTACAGGACCGAACATTTTTGGGATGTTTGTGGAGCGAGGAGGAGAAAGAACAACGTCGTGTAGTGAGAGGGTTCCCTCTGTGGCATGTCTTAAGGGAATCATGGATCCGTCACATCCCACAGCTGTCCCAGCGCGTCCTATAGAAGCGTCTATGACAAGCCACACACCTGCTGCAGAAGCTTCTACAACAGACCCGTCTGGCGGTTCAGACGCTACGACTTCAGCAGCGTACTCTACCCTCCCAGCTCTCCCCTCCTCTTCTCCCGCTGCTGATCCCTCCCAACAGCCCTCCCTTGTGTCCGCTGGTTCTGCACCCAACATCACCAGTTCTGGATCGCCAAGCATAAGGGATATATGGAGGAGGGGGAGGTCTGGGACAGGCTCCGAATCGGATCTAGAGGGCAAATTTTACG